TGCCCGGCTCACGGGGGGATGCCCGGCTCACGGGGGATGCCCGGTGATGCGGCTCGCCCGGTGGGACACGCGGCCGGCTCCCCAGGTGAGCCTCCGTGCCGCGCTGAGGTGGAGGCACTACACTGAGGTGCCCACGCTGATGGTTGCCATTTAAAAGGCTTATCAGGTACTTTACGCTCTCCGGTTTAACTGCAGAGCAAGGAAAGGGGTGCCAGTGTTTTTCAGTGTTTTTCTTGTATCACGATTAGGAGTTTATCAAAGCTCTTCCAACTCAACGTTGTGAACTTTTCTGCTTCTGAGAAGAAATGGTCAGGCAAGGAATCTGAAAGGGCAAAGTCACCCTATATCTTGTAACTGAAATTTGTGCAAATGATCTTTTTTTGAGAAATACACTCACCAGAGCACTACAAAATACAGGGTCCTGGAGATGCTGCATTATCAAGACCTTATTCTAGAGCTCAGTTTATGTTTTTAAACTTAGTCATCATAATGCCAATCTGCCTCACACCAAGATTCAGACAGATTTCATAAACTGGTTCTTTAATTCTAAGACTAACTGGCAAGCTTCAGATATTCAAAGTAATCTTCTACCAACAATAAGGGGATGTTTCTCTCCAGGTTTCCAAAATGATCAATTTTTTTCACTGGCTTTTCTCAGAGGCGGTGACAAATACCATTATCACAACAGGGACTGGGGCAACTTGACGTTTTTTTGCTGAAGAATTTCAGGTAAAAGCAAAAAGCCTACATGTTCCAGGAAATGTCTGGGTCCATACCTGCATTTTACAGTGGGCCAACTAGTGGAGCATGTGCTACCATACAGTAGGTTGAATAAAAAATCCAGGCAAAAAAAAAACTCAGACAACCTAAATAAAAATTATACATGTTCTGCCATAAAGTACTAATTATTTAAATAATTTAATTACCCACTCATATTAGCTCAACTGCTGCCACAACCAAACAGTGGCATGAGAGCAAGACCAACATGAGAGCATTTTTCCAGTAGCATTTACTTAGATCTATTTAACATAGATCATTGTAAAAGCACCGCCTCGCTCCAAAAGCTCTTCAGTGTCCTTGTGGTGTGGATCATGAATGAGAAGGATCCTTGGCACTTACAGAAGATCTTATGTGTGGCAGGGTCAGTAGACACCATTAGAGAGGCAAGCCAGATAATATAGTATAGGAAGCAAGTCCAGAAAAAGAGAAGATCTTGCTAACATAATTGGGAAGAATAGAAAATAGAAATCTTTGAAGAGTCACTGTATGAAAAGTCAACATCTTTGCAAAATCTGATGTAAACTGGGTAGTAATCAGAGTAATTTGATTTAATAAATTGTCCTCAGTGACATTGCTCATGAAAAACTTCATCTGAGCTGTGATATGCCACAGGTGTGGCTGTCCTGTGGTGTCTTCCCTGCTTAAAGTATCATTGAAATGTACTTCTCTGTTCTAATTAAAGTTTATAGATCTTAAAACTCTTAAAACTGTAGGTGTGAGTGTTGATTTCTAGAGTGGTTCTAGTGTTTGTTCCAAGCCTGGGTTATTCCTTTTGATCAGGATGACCTAGGCTTTGGGTAGGTTCATCAGTTTATCAAATATTTCCATTTTTGGAAAGTTGCAGAGTTTGTGAAGGTTTTGGTCTGATAACCCCATTGAGGTTATCAGACCTTGTGTAATTCTCTCACCACTCTATACTGACATTTCTTCTGTAAAGGTTGCTTCAGTAAATCATTAAAATCCAGCAGTCAGCCTTTAGTTGAACAAGGTGAAAGAGAGACACAACCAGAATTCATGAAAGCAGAAAAGAAAAAGCTTAGAGAAACTGCCAGAACCTAGAGTAGAGCATGGAATACTTGGACTTGCTGGTTTTTGATTTTGACAGAGCATTTTTTGGGTTATTTGCCAGCCGTAAATTCCCCACCATTTTCAATGAACACTCAGGCTGCTGGTTACAGCTACTGTGAGTAAGTTTGTTCACTTAAAATGCCAAAGGTCTGTGGGATGGATTGAATGAGTCCAGTCCTAGTAATGACCTGTGTAGGTGTAAACACTTTATAGAAAATCTGTGGGTCTTAGTCTTGGAAATTATAGGCAAGACATAGCTTGTGGGTAAAGACAATAACTTTTATCAGACCAACTGATACAATTTTAAAAGCTACAAAATTTTGAATATATTTAACAAGAGTTTCTGTAGACAATCTCAGAATCACACAATAGGAAAAAAATAATAATAGGAAATAAATAAATAGGAAAAAACCCTCTCACTGTCCTTCACAACAATGAGTGTTAAATTCTTTTTTTTTTTTTAATATGCAGTTTTCTTTATGTTTATCCAATTGCTTGGTAATATACTCTGAAAATAATTGCGTATGTGCTTGTCAAAGTGTTCATATATTCCAGGAATGCGCATGAGCGCATGGCTTTGCAACGCAAATTAGAGATTTTCTCATTCAGTCCAGGAAATTTGAGACTGATAGATGAATAAATGCATCAGGCAGTGCATATAGTACTCCAATTTCATCAGTACTCTGATTAGGATTCTGGGTGGAAACAAATCGCCCCCAAAACAGTCAAATTCCTCTTCCCTTTTTCTTCTGTTCAGATAAATCTTACAATGTGAAGTGAGCTAGCACAGTAAAATTTAGATATTTCTGATTTTTAATAACTTAGATGTTCCTTCTTTGTGCACTCTGGACTCCCTCATTGATTTAAAAGTCAACAAGGAGTCTAAAATCTACTTTAAGAACTATGCTTAAGTTTATCATTAAGTGTATGTACAGATAACGTGCAAGCCACTGACTGGCAACAGTTTTGCACTATCAGCTAAGTATAATTGGAACTTAGATTTTATTGTTGCTTTTAATCAAGAAAATTTTAAACAAAAGTGGACTAAAATTAATTTCTCTAGTAAAATTTAGAAAAAACAATGAATATATATCTTGATAATATATAAAAGCATCAAGAGGTCTGGTGAGATAGGAAATGTTACTAACTGGTGGCATTCTTCTGAGATTCACCGTGATTTGTGTGGCTGTTAGGCTCAGTTCCCCAGCCTTTCTATTGATTTGAGATTTTGATATTTTGCTATTTAGGAGAATGCTGAATTACAGTAAACATTGATCATCTGCCTATAAGGATCATCTGCCTACCTTACATGAATTTCAGAAGCAGCACAGAGTGGGGCAATATGCAATGAAAGGTCATGATATTGCAAACTGAAATCTGTAATCTGTATCAATAAAATCACATTTAATTACAGCATCAGAAAAAGAAAAATGTTTTTATTTACTATAACTGAGTCAAACAGCATTGCCATCATAACTTGTATTTCCCTCCTGTTGCCCATAGTAAAGTAGCTTTCATTTCTTTATGATCTTTCAGAATATACATATTTGGTCAGTTTTGATTTGGTTGCTTACATGTACATACAGTTTACCTACTGATTTTGATAAGAATAGCACAAAACACCTTATTTCTTAAAATACATCTGTATAAAGTATGAATAGATAAGGTGAAAAACAGCTGGTACCCTTGAAATAACTGTCCAGAAACTCAAGATACAGAAAAGAAAAGCATAA